CCCTGTTCTGCTCTGGGGTACCCGAACTCGACTTCATTCTATGTTTTTTTTTTTGGATTGGTTAAGTTGATTATGGTGTAAGAGGAGGGGGGAACTGAACAACGTTAATGGTGGTTATAAACTGGTTTAATTCTTGTTGTTTTGTGGTAATCAAACGACAGTTGTTGGACGGATTTTCCAATGTAGAGGCTAATGTTAATTGTAAACTAGGATCATTTGAATGGGTCCTTGTAATAAGTTCGAGAGTCCGTTTTCCTATGATGTCCAAGTGACGATGAAAATAATGTAATGTTGATCCGTCATTCAACGGGCGTGGTCACCTAAATAGCTCATTTCAGAACCCGTACAAAATTGGACCCAAAAAACCGGTCCCATACCCTGCGAGATTTGAAAGCGGGTAGTCATGTGGTACGGTGACTTAGTATACTATTAAAATAAGACGTTATCAGTTTTATTATTATTTTAAATAATAAAACCGGTAAAAAATGATCGAAAATATTTTTTTATCGATTCTAATTACCTAATAAGTAAACACGATAAAAAAAATCCGGTAACAAAATAATATTTTCGATAAAACACTACCTAAAATATTATTTTTTTGATCGAATTGTTTCTACCGCGTTTACCTATATATGTAATTAGAATTGGTAAAAATAATATTATTTTTGATATTTTTTACTGGTTTTATTATTTAAAATAATAATAAAATCGATAGTGCATTATTTTAACCGTATACTAAGACGGCGCTGTAGGTGAGCGTTTCCCTTGAAAGCGTGGATGGATACCCAAAATTAATGCAATCCTTCCAAAAAAAAGTTTTGTCGTCTCTTATTCAAATGCTTCGTCTTTATTAATTCATATTGACCCGCGATACACACCTGATTTTAGTAGGTAAATATCTCGTAGGGATTTTTTTTACATACACAATGACTTAAACCTGAAATATTGTTTAAACGATATCAAACTACTTACCACTTAAACCAACTTCATTGGTACTATATTAAAATAATTTGATATAACATTACCCTTGCTGATTTTATTTTAATTATTTTGTATACTATTGTCCCGTCTTATTTGTTACTTCATTTTTTTATTGTATTATTACTATCTTGTTTTTCTCAGTGAAAAAAAGGGAAATTGTCACATGTCTAGTTAAAAACCCTTAAACCTAATTAGAAGAGAATAGTACACGTGACAATTAGAGATGACAAGTCAAAGGAAAGACATCCGAGAGACCAAACATAAACAGCAAGCTAATAATCCTGACCGCATCCATCGTGATGCAGAAGCTACTTACAATTTGAACTAATCTAATTGGTACTATATTAAAATAATTTGATATAACATTACCTTTGCTGATTTTATTTTAATTGTTTTGTATACTATTATTACTATCTTATTTATTAATTTTCTATTAAAAAAAGTCATTTAAACCGACAACAATATACATTTTTTTTCTGTCTTCATCGTTAAGATCGAAGCTTTTGTGGACCTAACGTGGACCATACTGACTTCACTTGTTTTACTTTTGTGGATCAAAGACGAAGGAAACGATGGGTAAATGATCTCATGAAAACTTCTATATATCGGGATCGCCAATCATGAATCTTTGTCATTTACTACCAAAGCAAAAGTAGACCAAACAATGGACCATCCCCAAGTTGCAGAGGTGGATTCCATTGCCAACTTATACGCGGTTTGCCCATGTCTGAAATTCTGTTCAATGGGGTGGGGTTCCACTTGAAGTTTAAGAACGTGGTTACGGTTGTATTTTTATCTAAATTATAATTGACGATCAAGTTAAATTTTATTATAATCCTTAAGGTTAAAGATTACAAGGTAATTAAAAGAGATGTAATATCTTTTGAGAATTTCAATTTAATTCTTTTTATTTTAAATGTGATGTCCTTATTTTGCTATTATCTATTTTTATGTTATAATACTAACTTTTTGGTTTATTTTCTTTTAGGCCCCCTATTTAGCCGTGTTTTCACATTCTGGTCACTAGGGTTCTTTTTAAAAATTCTTTAAATTTAGCTTGATGTTTTAGTTTATTTCAATTTAATCACGTTTGATGCTTCTTTATTTTAAATCAAATGTTTTTATTTATTGCAATTTGATCCTTGCACTAATTTATTTTTGTAACGTTTAATTTTTCTCAGGTTATTCGAATCAAAATCTTCGTTTTATATTTATTTTAATCGATTGCATTTTTTCCATTTACTCGATTATTTATTTTCAATTCAGATTATGTATTTTAATTAAGATAATTAATTGGTATTCTATATATTTTTTTTGATTATTTCTTTTCAGGTACGTTCTAATTAAGGTATATTTTATGTTTTTTTATTTTTTTTAATTTAAACACTGATTAGATTAATTTAGTTTTAGATTCAAACCTTAAATTTAGACTTCTCACAATTTGTCCTCTAATTTAGGAAGTAATTCAATTTGGGCTTTCGCATTAAGATGCCCGATTGTCCAAATCAATTACTCGGTTTCATAACTGGTTAATTTTAATTAGATTAATTACTAGACCCTTAGTTTAGATTTAGTCCCTTAACTTGAGGTTTTTGACCTTCTAGTCCCTAAACTTTTAATTAGGTTTCCCAATTGACATATCGAATTAGGTTAACAATTAGAGTCTTGACATTAGGTTTAATTTCATATTAGTCCTTTAATTAGGGGATGATTCGATTTGGGTTTTTGCATGAAAATGCTTGATTGCTCATATTGATTATCCGATTCAATAATTTGATAAAACAATATGGTTAATATTAGAGACTTCATTAATCCATTAAGTTATTTAATTTCATAATTTGACACTTTAAGATGTGAAATCCTTTAATAAACGCATCTAGTAATATTAGGTCCTTAACCTTTGGTTGGTTGCATTTCTTTTTGAAACACGTGGCAATGTTGATTTATTAAGGAATTAATGGTATAGTTCCCGCAATCATGTTCTGGGGGCGACTATTGGTAATTTTTGAAGTATGTCAACATTCTTTTCAAATCCCTTCATTTTTTAAATCTCGATGCAATGCCCAGTTATTGGACACAATAATTGATCTCCCACATTCATGCTAGGGGTGAATATTAATGGCTTTGATAAAAGAACACCCTCTTCAACTTTGCATCTATAGTGATTTTTAAATTAAATAAAACTTTGAAATCCAAATTTCCAAATTCTTAAATATAGGGTATTTGACTAGGTACTAATTTCTGGGTGGTGTGGGGGTGCTAATCATTCTCACGCGTAACCGACTCCCGAACTCGATTTATGGTTTTTACATACCTCAAACTTGGTAAAAATAAAATATTTTATTAAAACTATCTGATTTTTATGGTGTTTCAATCGCACTTTAAAATGATTGATAATGACTTCTCGTATTTCAAAATCTTTTCAAAGAAAAACCCTAAGTTGAACAAATTTTTTTTTCACCCGAACGAAAAACGGTGTCGACAAGCAGGTTGCAAAATAACCGACATTTGAAGATAAAAACAATGGGGGTTTTCTTGTTTTCTTTATGGCGAGGGACAATGAATTCTCTAAATGTAATAAACCATGCATAAATATATATTAATTATTAGGGCTGATGATTTAAGGGATGAAGTTTTTAATTTATAATTTTGGGATCTAGGTTTTAATATATAAGATTATGAAATTTATTTTTTATATAATTCTATATCAAATAGTTTATTGCTTTTTAACTATGATTTTTTTAATTAAGCTTTTAGGAGATGTTCAAGGAATACACCCTGGAAGGGAACCCTAACGCACACCGCCGTCTATTATTTTTATAAACCCTTTGGTTGTTGGTTAGTCTATTTTTTTTTCATGCCTTATACGACACAAGGAAAATTTGAAACTTGAAGCTAACCCGATACTCCAGACTCCATTAACACGACCTTAAGACCAAAAACTAATATTCTAACATTTAAAACATGTTATATTTTGATTAAAATTATAATTAGTAATTACATTTAATTTTATTGTAAATTGAATGGTCAATTATTATTTGGTAATTGAGTTTATTACATATGTGAATAGAGTCAGCTAATTTTTATAGACAGACACAACATAATTAATAATTACTAATGCTACTACTTATTATATTTAATCAATGAAGCTTTTGTTGTAACTACTCTCGAGGTTTTTTTTTCAAACTCTAAACTGAATAGGGCATTAAAATATATTAAACCCTAAAGTTACAAACCCACTCCGGCCATAAACTAATGCAGTTTCGGCTGGTTTATTAGTTTATGATCATCTGATATGATTAATCAATTATAAGTCACATTTATTGGAGGTTTCCCAAAGCAAAATTGATATGTTAATAATATATATTTATGATAATTATTTAATACATTGGTAGTGAAAAAAATAATTTTATAAGCACTATTAAAAGGAAGACAATTGTCCTTGTATTTAAAAATTTAAAAATAAATAAATATAGTTGTCATCCTTTCAAAAGTATCAATAATTTTTTTGATTTAAAAATAATTATTTAGAAGTTATTTTAAAATTTTCGATTCTCATTCACTAAGATTGTGACGTGGTGATCCGGGTTCATTAAGTAATTTTTATTGTTCAAGAAGACGGGGGCTTTGAATACACAATGTTCAAGAAAGAAAGCAAAAGAAACCTCCTAATCAACTTTCTGTATTCCCATGAGGAGGACGAAGATCTGCCTTTGCCTTTACCATCACAATCCACGCACTCCATTCGAATCTTTCATTTTCCCACTCCTCACTCTTTTTCGCCGGTCCCTGTTCCATCAAATGTCACTGTGAGCGTCTCCTCAGTTCCATGCTTCCCTTTCCTTTTTCATGTTACCCTTTGCCTTTATTTTTCACGTCTTACATGCTACCTGTAGTTTACGATACTTGTAATTAAGCCCATAATGAAAGTCGAATGCATTGGATATTTACACCAAAAATTGAACATATAACAATGCATAAACAAGACTAGAACCAACAAAAAAAGGGGTGAAAGTTAACTATGCTATCAAACCATTGGCAATGGCTTGATTTGTTTCTACATGAGTAGTTTCATACACCGGAAGCTCTTCCCTGTACCTGTCGTTACCAATGAGGACCAGATGATCTAACTCGAACAAATCCGAACTCGAATAGCTCGCTGCATCCTCTTCATCTTCATCCATCTCCTCCATTACATAATTACTGCGACTGTCCCTTGATGTAAAGTCGTTCTTCCTTTGATTCAGATGATATTCTTTCAAAAACTTTGCAGCCATTTCTTCCACCCGCCTAGCCTTTTCCATTACTCGAAACTTCTTCTCTTGTTCGACTTTTATCAATGGAGATTTCCGAATTTTCCATACGGCAGGGGCCGTAACCGACACCGTTCTCGGCAAGTCTTCTTCTTCGTATAAGTGTTTTTGTCCACATGGTCTGCAGTCTTCATCAACGATTACACTCACCGGGCAGAATCTAACAGTTCTTTCGACTCCTTTACGCAGCCTTTCTCTTGTGGAAGGCGAGTTCTTGCTCAGACATGATCTTGAAAACGAGGAAGCTGAAGAACAAGTTGAAACCAGGTTGGACTTCAATTTCCTTTCATCATCGCAGCTTGTTTTCTTTGAATTACTTGTCGTAAACAGAGAACTGATGAAACTCACGATTCGGCCGCCTGGTGAAACGGGCTGTTTCACCTTCTTCTGATAGCCGTAAATTTTGGCGGCCCTTGGTTTTGACGTGGAGTGACTTTTGTGAAGCTTTGGCGTATAGTTAGAGGCCGAACTATAATGATAATCATCGCGCATATGCGACTCTTTCTGTTTGTAAAACAGAGTCCTCCCTGTTTTTTCTGTTTTGACTGGTTTCTCCGACTGAACCGACACGCCGGTCCTAACAGGTTTCGGCCTCGATGTTGCAAAACACGATGATTTGGATTTCGTAACACACATAGATTCAGTGTCGGATGATGACAAACCACCGGAACTGGAATCAGATGAGGTGGAAGTGGAGCTAAAGAAACCGGCATCATGGTCTTGATCATGATCATATTCATGATCTGATTTCCTTTCGAAGTCAGAGAAAACCTGTTTCAGGCCTGCATTCGCCTTTTCATTAACCTTCTTTTCCATCCATTTCTCATTCGAACAAGGTTTTCGAAGACTCGACGTCTCTTCGTCTTCTTCCTCTGCATGGCCTCTCCTTTTGTTGCATTTCATGGTACCTTTGCTCTGTTTCTTTTGCATTGTTTCCCTGTAGAATTTCAAGTCACCATTTGTGGTGTCACCATCATCGATGGAACGGTAGATTTTGTCAAGCAGAGTAGAAGAAAAGGATGGGTTATCTCTCTCATGCCTGTACACTGTTTTCTCAAATCTGTTCATGGCTTGTCGATTCCTAAAAATGGGCTCACAAAATGAACAGAAAATAAGCGAGAGAGCGATGAGAGCTTTGAATTGAAGATTGAAGTGAAGGGGGAACAAAAGCTTGGTACTATATAAAGGTGTGACAGATTATCATCTGCGTACGTGGCAGTCTTCTGTCATTTTTCACTAATCCCAGATTAGCCCTTCCATTCTCATTCACTTTGAATATTGGGCCTTCTGATCAGATCCATTGCAGAAGGAGAAGGGTTTGCCAGCCTCTGTGTGGGTCCGTATGTTCTTTTAGTTTTTTAGTTTTTTTATTAAACGGTAATTACAAAATAATATATGTTTAAACATTTTTAATCATTTGACAATGAACGTTCAATCACTCTGCTACAGTCGTTGCTATTCAAACTCGTAATCTCTAAGAACAATAACGATTTTTTAATCACTGAGGTAAGTTAATTTGTGTTCCGCATGTTCTTTTAAGAATGGAAATTTTCTTGGGTAAACTATATCGTAGGTTTATTACCTTAAAAAAGTTATAAACGTTTTTATTCAATTAATTAATTTTTATAAATAGATTATCATATTATTATTTTAATTAATTTGGGTAAGTACAACGCAATATCTATTCAAAGATAACTTTCAACCATTTGACATTGAACGCTCACACTCCTGACATTCTTGGTGCTCGAATCCGATACCTCAAGGAATAAAAAAAATTATTACCGAAATCACTTGACTCGTGCAATTATTAAATGTATAAAAGATGTTAACTCTTAACTAAAATAGACTGATATGAGTATAACAATAGATAGTTAATATGATTATTATAATCGATTAATAAAATGATATGATTATAATTAAATAGTTAATATTTATACAAATTTTATATAATAATATAATTTTAATAATGGATTAATTGAGTGATATAAATGGCATCTATTATAATTTATCAAGTAACAGTATAAAATAAAAAGGTTGGATGCTTGTGGCCTGGGTCCTGGCTCAAGTAATAACTTCAAGGGTAAACTATATGGGCGACCATTAAATTATTGCTCATTTTTACTTTGACCACTGATGTTATGATTTGATCAATAAAACCACTCAACTATTTAAATGCTTTAATCAAGCCACTGATCATTAATTTTTAACGAAGGTGATGACGTGAAAGTTAATAAAATTATCATAAAAATATGTTTACACATGGCACCTCCAAATTGGAGGATTAATTTCATTAGTTTTAAAGTTTTAAATAAATAAGTTTTCCCACCAATCAAGTGGTCACCACTCATGGTGCGCCCAAGGACCACTTTGGTCCTCGGTTCAAATCTTCACAGTTTCACTTTTATTCTAATTTTTCTTCCCCTTACATTGAGGTGTTACATGTTATCATCTGATTGATGAGAAATTTTATTTAATTAAAATATTTTAATTTAATTAAATTAACACTCCAATCATATAGTGACACATGTCACTTGAAAATATGTTATAATAATTACTGACACATGACACCTCCAGATTGGAGGGGTAGATTTATTTAATTGAATTAAAACAATTGACTAAATTGATAGAACATATAAATATTAATGACCAAATATATAATTATGCAAATTTTATTAATTGTCATGTCACTGCATTCGTTAAAAATTAACTGTCAATGGTTTGATTGAAACATTTAAATAGTTAGATAATCTAATTGATCAAATTGAAACACCATTGGTTAAAATACAAATAGACAATAATTTAGTGGTCAGCCGTGTAGTTTACCCTAACTTTAACCGGATAGGTTTGTTACAATATCATTATTTCCTTCTAAAAGTTTATTATTTCTTTTTCTAAGAATATAAAAATATTATAATTTCTAAATTTCAAGGTTTTCTCTTTTCCTTTAAAGACAATATTAATATATTTTACTATTTTAATAGTAAGTCATCTCTCTTTATAGTATGAGACGTGTAAAATATGTAATACAAATGTATTTATACTAAATGAGTGTATAAGTCTACAAAAATTTTAAACAATAATTAAATATAATAATTATAGATTTAATAACACTATAAATATATGAATTATACAACCAATGGGGTTAATTCAAGTGGTAAGCAACTTGATATCACTTAAGCAAGGTCTTAGGTTTGAGTCTTTATGTATGCAGAAAATCCTCGTTGGTAGACTCACTCGTCAAAGTCAGATGTGCGACTCGGGTCGGTCCAAATTAATCAGGGTGAAACATTGAAATCGAGGGGCAACCAAAAAATATAGGAATTATATAAAAGTATACAAATAATATTAAATTATACTAAAAAAACTTTTTCATATAACATAAATTAATTATGTATGCATTAACTTTTGTATGAACAGATAAATTGAATTTAGTTGATTTATGTTATACATATTTCTATTATTTTGTTTCTGGCCGATTATTGAAGGTTCGCCGTCTCTTCTAGGGTTTTTAAATTGCCAGTTTAATGGCGGCGTTATTATTAATACATCATTGAAAGGAATAATTGTACCTAAATGATTTAGAAGTATCTCTATTTTTCTAATTTTTTATTTTAAATTAAACTCTTCCGTCCGGACCGGAGTAAGTGTTACAATTTTAAGACAGCTCCCTAATCGGTACGACAGCGTACCATAATAATAACTTGATGTTTCATGTTTGATTGTATATCTTGTTCTCAAATGGCTGGTCGATACCCTGAATGGAACCATGGTAGAAGATCATCCAACAAACGTTTTTGTTAAATGCTCCAAAATAACTACCAAGAATGATTTGAATTCAGGAATGAACCTAGGGATACTGAAGTGCGGTCGCATCCCTTAAAAATTTTAAATTATCTTATATTTTATATGAATTATTTAATTTCGTACCCCGAAGAATTAAATCATGTGGACGGATTAAATTTGAAGGAGGTGCCCATGAAAGAGACATCACGTGCAATAGCAAAACAGCATGCCAAGTTCTCTTAATTACCATACCCCATCTAGCTGCAAAAGCCTTGCCGAAAACATTAGTATGCATGAACCAGTAGCATCACTGAGAACCCTGAAATGGACGGAGAACATAGAATGATACAATAACCCATTACACGACTCTGTCCAGCGATCGCTATTTAAACCGAACAAGGGATCGTCTGCTTCAAAAACCCTTGTCGAGGTCACATGTTTTTGCCGTTCCTGGTTTGCCGATGTAGCTCAATTTCGAGGGCATAAGCTATCATGAAGCGACATCCATGACCATCCCTTAACATGATCTCATTTGCGTATCTACCATCCCTTAAAATCCGATTTGATTTATTTAGATTTTTAATCGTCCCCGACGGTTGATGACTGGTTTTATTTTCTTCTCCTTAATTATTATTATAATTTTGAAAATTCTTCTCCTTAATTAAAATGTGGGGGGTGGGGTCAATGTGGAGCAGGAACAGCTACCCCCATAATCTTTGCATGGGGGTTAAAAATTAATGGTTGGTAGGGCATCACGTGCTCTTCAAGTGGCTCCCCCTGACCAAGGCACGTGATAGTAAATCTACTAGCTCTCATCCCCACGTCAGCTCATTTGAAGGTTTAGTTTTCCAGATGTTCACCGATACTGTGTCGCCACGTTTTTAGTAGCTTCTTCTATTATTTTGGCAGCAGGATGATAATAAATTAGGGTTGTAGTATTTGTTGTAGATATGACTGTAGTTGTGATGTCATGGTTATAGATTTATTTACAAAAATATTATATTTTTATGCTATATATAAATTATTATGTAACGATAACTTTAAAATATTATATTATAGATTTAATTAAATTGATGATTATTTACGTATGTGTTTTGTTCACTTTTCATAATTGATTTCAAACAAGCATAAGATAGGATCATTTTTTTGTTTTTATATAATTAAGATATGATCACTTTTGTTTTTATATAATTAATATATTGTCATCACAGGTTAATTGTTGTTGACGATTAACATAATATGTAACGTGATAATCTCTCAATTTAGTCATACTTTTAAATAAATTTTAACATAAAATATATATTTTTAAATGAAAATGAAAATAAAATATATTTAATAAGTTAATATATATAAAATAATATGAATTTAAATATTTATACACTAAGATACAAAATATATATATAACATGTTGTCTACTTTAAACCAATCAATATTCTTGACTTAATGGTTGAATACATGTTTAGTTTCTTAAGTGACTAAGGTTTGAATATTTCTTCCTCCCGTCTACTTTCTTTTGTTTTCTTTCAACTAGAGGGAGATACATGTCACTATTTGATTGATGTAAATAAATATATTAAATTAAATTAATGTTAATCATCTAACTGAATGATGGCAAGTGGCATGACATGTGATATCATTCAACTAGAGGATTAATTTTATTTTAATTTATTAAAAGTATGACTAAATTGAGAAAATATGTAAATAACAGAGACTAAATCTGTGATTATATAAAATATTTAAATGTTGTTAACAACAGTTAACTCGGGATGACAACATCTTAGTTAAATAAAAATTAAAGTGGTATCTTATATATTTTTTAAATCAATGACTAAAAGTGAATAAAACACAATAATAAGTGATCATTCACAACACTATTATTTCATTCCCGTCAAAATACGAAAAAAAAGATTGATAGCTGAAATAAGAGTAGAAAATTTTGTATCGTGTCAATTAAACAAACTGCGCCCCAAAGGCGAATCTGGAGAGATGCGGAGAGTATAAATTAAAGATGACAATTTAACCCGAGTTCAACAGGTTTCGATCCAACCGGATCAGATAGGATCATATTTTTTTATAAAAAAAAAATTGGTTTAGGTAAGGTTGGGTCCGATTTTTTAAAGGGTGGAGTCAAGTGGAGGGTGAAAAAACTCCGACCCAACCTGACTCTAAGATAATAATGTAATTTCTTTAAAAATTTTATTATTTTTTAAAATTAAGTCATTATTTTTTAAAATTAAGTCCTTATTTTATATCAGATCGGGTCAGGTTGGATTTATACTCTAAAAATTCAGGTCAGGGTGGAATCGGGTGGAAGATATATATTTTTCTGGTTGGGTCGAATGTAGGGTATAAAATTTTTCGGGTCAGATGGAAGATGCATATTTTCTAGTCGGGTCGACCAAAACCCCCGACCCGTTGCCATCTTTAGGTCTAATGAGAAGGGGACATAGACTTTGTAGGATCGTGAGTTTGCATCCTCAGGTGAGTATTGCATGGCCACACCTGATTTTTCTTTTACCTCTTCGTTTTGCATTCTTGCAGACAACATTCTACATCTTGCCTGCCACACACTTGTATCATGTCTACCTTTTTTTTTTCCTTTAAATACATTTTCTATGTATACATATGCATGCATGATACTTATTAGGGTAGACCCACATTCTCTGCTGTCCATCCACAGGATTTGACTTTCTCATTCAACCATAAAGCAAACCGAAAATTATAGCAAGAATAAAACGACTAGTGATCACACAATAAAATGAACACGTCCGATTATTGTTCAAATATGGGTTTCAAAGCAATCGTTCGAATAATTAACGTATCATCACATGGTTCTCTTCTCAAATCAATGAGCATCGAGTCTCTGAACATCCACCGATTGATAGAGATCACCAAGTCGTTGCTTTGCCAAAGGGAGATTCGTTCTAAATTTCATACAAGCACCCAATTAAAATTTGTTAGAAAGTATGATTGGATAAAACCATAAGCATGCAACACCATGCATGGAACAAATATCATGTAGAAGCCAAGTCACATTCGTTGCTCAATTATCGAATAATCGATCTCTGCTACAATTATGTCCTCGTTATGTTCAGTCGTGGCTAGGACTTCTCCAAACTGTCACACGCAAAAACTTAAGTATGTACTTGTCTGCTCAAAAGACTTTAAACCATTAAAGGTTCAGGAAGGCTGGCATTCCGCATGTATCACAGAAGCATCTACTCACAGGACCTACAAGGGTTGAGTGACCCCAAGCTATGTAACTGGCTCCAGTATCTCGAGCAGGTGAACAAGTTGCAACATAAACTGTCATTTAGAATTGTTAGAGAAACAGAAACACAGACGAACACAAAAGAACTCCTTTTGCGCAATCAGATATTCATGTTCTAGTATCTATGGTGACACCGAAACATGGCTTATATAAACAAGTGTTTCTTGAAGCATAATACAGCAGAAGAAGGAAATTAAGTACCATGTCTTCACTACTTATCTAGAACATCTTAGTCCAACATATTAAACTAACCAAATACCGACCGCATGCTCGTTTTGACTATAAAATGATATGATTTACATTAGTTTTCATGATTACTCTATAAAGAAAATTATGTGATTATGAAAACCTTTACACCGATCAATTGTAGAGAGGAAAATTTTGCTACTATATCTGATTATCCACAGCCCTGCATACAGAACAGCAGGGAACTCATTAGTAGATGAACTGGTGCATCTTGAGCTAACTTTTAATTCATTGCTGCAAAAGTAATTAAATTTTCTCCCGTTAAATTAAATGATGGTTTTGGAAGATTTTGAAACATGATAAATTCCATTTCATCAAGTAGATCTGTTGGTCTCTTGGCGAAGCAAACTCAGCCCGTAATGTTTAAATGTAAAAGAACAGATATGTACGGAGTTCCTTACAAGTTAAGAACTAGAAGGTCCATCTAAAACTAGAACAAGGAACCATCCCGGTAACGATGCAAGGCCAAAAGAATTGAAACACTGACTCTCATATGGCTCTCTGCAGTTACTACAGCCCTCCCGAACCTGCCTTATTTCTCTTGTCTTTCAACCAAAGTTTATCGAATTAGCAAGGAGAGTGAAAGCAGGGAAATAACTAGCACCTTGTTCTCTGCGACAATTCCCAATGCAATGGTCCGGTTGTCAAGTTAAATGCTCCAGGGTAGCATAGCAACTGAGCACCCAATTTCATCAAAACAACACAGGAGAAGTAGGCCATGATAATAATTCTCCAAACTCGCAAATAAATTAGGACATAATAATTGTATTCATCACCTAGCAAAAGCCAATGTTGAAAATGAAATTAATTGTATAATGGTTTAATGGAGAAGTAAAGCCACCTCTTGAGGCATATATCATGGACAATTACTGGAATTGAATGTCATAACAAATTCCTATACCAATTCGCCCAACATCTGCATGAACTATTGATGATTAGATTCCCACTTAAGAGTATTACTTACCCATTGTATTCCATTGCTAAAAACAATTCCTTGTCAGTGAAATCTAATTGTAGAAGATCTTACAAAGTACTTTATCCAATAATGCCACAGATGTAAGGACCAGATAAATGTTATATGACAAGGGAGAAGATGATTTACCATATATGATCTAGAAAATGATTCAAACAAAAATTATGGACAGGGTAACATGTCCATGCATGTGAAGTCTTAAGGAAACATCAACCTGTGTCCACAATGGTAGGAGTCTCCCCAGCGGTAAGGGTCTTGGATTCCATAAATGTAATCTTCCCAGGAATATCAATATCGAAAAGGTGTATTTGTAGTTCCAAAGAATTCATAAATATTATGCACACCAGCTTCAGTGGCCGTCTTCAAAATGATATCAGTAAACTTTAGGATTGTCTAAATGAAGCAGCCAACTCGGTAACTTAAGTCACAATTTTTTGTGCTTGATTAATAATATAAATATATATATATTTGAGACTAGCATACTAACAAGTTAGTGGCAAAAGGTAAATATAAAGCTTAAGACCAATGTTCATTTTCTTGCAGCAGGCATCAAGGTTTAAATTTGACACAATCAGAGCAATGACCGAGAATTAAAATTTAAATGGCTTAGACATCTACTAATACACGTAGATGTATGCACTTATATACAGGTGATGAATTGACAGATGTTGCAGCATAGCAAAATCATTCGGTGTAATCGACAATAAATAACATGTGGCTCCATAATGGAGTGCATTTCCTATATACCACCATGTGGGATTGGAAATGCTTCTACCTTGCGGTGCTTGGCTTTCAGCTTTCCTTCAGTACCCAAGACACATGTATTATGCAACTTATCCCCCACAGCGTTCAGGTATAGAGCCTCCGACTATCGTGATCCTCAGTTGAGCAAAAACTTCAGCCAGAATAGCTGTTGAAGGAGATGCATCAGGCCCTGCATCTATATCTTCAGCATAAACTGGGAAACTGTCATTCGAATATGGGCTGTTCCATATTTCCTGATACAGGAAAACAGACAGGAAGAGATGGCCTTGAGATGTTTAATCACAAAATCTATTACACGTTAAAGGTGAACACGAAACCCACCATTTCATTGAACACCAACGTGGTTAAATATTCCACCATATATTTGGCTCACATGAAAATCTTCACTTCCATGTTCACCAAAAAATACTAGAAAGGAAAAGAAAGCTTCAACTAAAACGCATGATCGCCATTCAAGGCTAGCTCTGTCCGAGTAACAAGATTGAAGTTTAAATCATCCATGTAGTTATAAGCAACAATTAATTAGTTTACAATTATAATTTATCTGGTATGACACAATGTCCTAAAACCCAGTAAGCATCTCAATTTTAAAGCCTGGAATCTGATACAACCAAGCTAGGTTATGCACAAACTGTTACCTAACGAAAACCTTCATTCGAGCATTAGAAAAGCAGAAACCTTGAGGCGTAGACAAGAAGAAAAAAAACTCACAGGCAATACAACAAGCTGAGCACCCTTTCCAGCAGCCTCCTCGATGGCCTTACGAGCATGCTTTATGTTCCTCTCTTTATCAGGTGTCACCAACAACTGGCAAAGCCCAATCTTGAACTATAGCAACAACCCAAAACAAATCACTCATAACAATATCATACACACAATTAAAAACAGCAATTGATATATAATCATACGGTAAACAAAGCAAAAGGGACTGCTTTGGTGACAGGAAGGGTGGGAGGAGCCAGAGCAGGTGGTCGCCTTGCTTGTTCAGGCTTGAAAGCTGATGACATTATGGAAGTTGAGCTGGAAATTGGAGCTTTTGGTTGGAACGAAGAATGTTCTTTCGAGAAATGGGTTTTGACCAGTGTTGCAGAAGACAGCGTGAGATTGTGGAATGAGGCTCTTAGACCTATCAAGTGAGGAGACCGTTGACTCCATTATTCCTTTCATTATTCCACCTTTTGTTTCTGGGAGTTGAGGTTTCTCGCTTATGGGTCATTTGCATTTTTGTTCGTACAAGGAGCTTTTCGTCAATTCCATCTAATTGAAACCGGCAGTGCAAGTTGTAAATTTAATCTAAAAATTCTCACATTTTTTAGAACTTCAAATACCAACTAAGAAAATTAGATATCAAATAATTATTTAATAATATACAAAAAAATATTTTATTGAAAAATTATTTAATTTCGTGAAATGGCATTCCCTTTAATTTTCCTTCTTCTATTTAAAGAAGGGCTTATTAATAACCCTTTCCCCCCCGAATTGGCTCACAAATTTCTGCCTTTCCTTCTTTCTCCCTCCATAGTCCGAGAGAGATAAACAGAGAGAAAGGGTCAGTTAATTACTCTTTAAAACTAAAACAAATTCTTCCTTTGCAAATCTTTCTTTTCCCTCCTTTTCCTCTCACCCTCACAGTACGTTTCGTTCCCCTTTTCTCTGCTTCTCGATCCCCACTCTCCCAAACAAAAAAAGCCTTGTCTTTGAAAGAGAAGCGAAAAGGAAGAAAACAATCAGTCCGGACTATGGACGGCGGTGTCCCGTACAACCCACGTTCCGTGGAAGAAGTCTTCCGGGATTTTAAGGGTCGTCGAGCTGGCATGATTAAAGCCCTTACTACCGGTGATACTTCCCAACTCTCCTTGTAAATTTACTGCTCCTTTTCTCTTGCTCGACTTCCATCTTTTTAACCATTTTTTGGGTTAATCCTTTGTCGTTTCAGATGTGGAGGAATTTTACCAGCAGTGTGATCCAGGTACTGCTTTTTGGGTTTTATGGAGAATAAATTTCTGGGCTTTGTTTTGTTTGGTTGATGTTATGATTTATCTTGAAATTGAAGTTACGGTTTTTATTTTACATGTCGTTTTCTTTTCATTTAGTATAAATGAAGTTATTAGTGGACCCCATGATATTTAAGATTGTAGATTTATTGTAGACTTATGGCCTGAAGAAACACTTCAATTATGTGGTTACCATTTTCTGATTAAATTTCATTTTCCCTTTGAAAATAAAAATGAATTGTTTGAGCCGAGTAAGTATGATATATGTATGTTTAGGTGTTGTAGATTTAATCATTTCAACATTACTGTTGTTGTTCCTTGTTGTGTTAGAAATGTAGGTTTCTTTCTTTCTTTCTATAAACAACTATAAATTTTTTAGAAGTTGCCATGAACAATCATTTTTTAGAAGTTGCCATGAACAATCCTTTTTTATCGTTTTGCTGGCTAGCAAGTTTAGGATTGTTGTCACTGCTTGATTCTTATTGGCTCTTTTAGATGGCTTTGATTTGGATGAAAAAGTATGTGCATCTGAAGTTGGATGCAGATGGAATAAACTCAGTGTGGTTACCTTGTCTTTTATTCGTTATATCGTGTCAAGTTGTAGATGCATAGAACGGAATGAGATAGTTTAAATTTTAAAATTTTGATTGCAGAAAAGGAGAATCTTTGCCTTTATGGATTTCCTAGTGAGCAGTGGGAAGTGAATTTACCTGCAGAAGAGGTGCCTCCAGAGCTTCCAGAACCCGCACTGGGTATTAACTTTGCGAGAGATGGAATGCAAGAAAAGGACTGGTTGTCTTTGGTTGCTGTGCACAGTGATGCGTGGTTACTCTCTGTGGCTTCCTATTTTGGTGCTAGGTTTGGATTTGATAAAGCTGATAGGTATTTTTCACATCACCCAAGTGTAGTCTAATGGTTTGGTTTTCATATACACATTCTTGGTGGAAATACACTAATTTATTAAGTTAGCATGCACACAAGTCTAGCCTAGTTCAGTAAAATAATTTATTAATTTCTCTTTCAGTTTCGATGTTTTGTTTTTATGAACCACTTACAGATTATGGGTTTACATTAGAAACAAGGCATAGCAGAGTGAGCTTGACCAAATTGGGAATTGGGATTCTGTGTACTAGATTTGCGTGTGGCTATAACAAGTTTGCAATATTTTGCACAACAAATTTTTACTCAGTTATACCATGCTGGTTGATGTGATGCAGGAAACGCCTTTTCAATATGATAAATGATCTTCCAACAATATTCGAAGTTGTGACAGGAGCGGCTAAGAAACAGACGAAGGAGAAGTCTTTGGTTCCAAATCATAGCAGCTACAAATCTAAGTCAAACTCTAAGGTACTGAAAACCTTTTTCTTTACTGTTTCATCGAACGTTTAATAGGTGTGATTTTTGGGTTATGACGAGTTGGTGACGTTGAAACTAAAACATAATATTACATTATTCTAACTATTTGAAAATGGCTTCTGACATTGCAAAAAGTCTAGCAGTAAAAGTTTAGTTCTTCGGAACTGTTGCCATTGTTGTTTGTTACATCAATATTTATGCAAACTTCATTCTACTCGTGGTGGTGGCTGACTCGAAAGAGGGAAATAACTTCAAATTTTCAAGGAGACCCTTATAAATTAGAAATTTCATTTCCCTTTGTGTTTGACAAAATGCAGCAAGGTTCTGAAGCTCAACCCAAATATTCAAAGCCAGTGCCACCCAAGGAAGAGGATGATGATGATGAAGATGAGGAGCAGGGAGATGCATTATGTGGGGGCTTGTGGAGAAAATAATGGAGCTGATGAATTCTGGATTTGCTGTGACGTATGTGAGACATGGTTCCACGGAAAGTGTGTCAAGATTACACCAGCTAAGGCAGAGTACATTAAGCAGTACAAATGCCCATCGTGCAACAACAAGAGAGCACGGCCTTGATGACCGCCAGTCGCTGTCTCATGTGTGAATTCTATCATTGTGGACTTTGCTAGCTGTCTAGAAGCTTATCCTCTCAAGCATTTTCTTAGTCAATTATGCTCCTTTGTCTTGGCAAATCTTTCATAGACTTATGTGTGGGTCGTAATGCTCTGTTTAAGTTTATTATAAAATAGGATGTTAATAAGGCTGAGAATCATTTTTCTTAGACATTGGAAGGTAGACTGGATTTGATTCTTCTTGTGTTTATATGCATGCTACTTCATTTCTTTTTTTAAAAATCTATTTTCACTATATTTTTCCTTATTTGGGGCAGCAGAAGCAAGTATAAGACACGGTTCAGTGCAGCACAATGGCAGCTTGACGATGGCTCTTGGGCCAAGTGGTGTTTAACTCACCCATATTTGAATTATACGCTTGAAATCAAAGTATAGATAAATAGATAGATAAACAGTGATTGCTATAATATTTTTCCTTGATTGAGATGCCTTGTCCACCATGTAGCGCTCTAGTCTTATCGATTTCTGTAGCGTTTTGTTCAATACCATAATACTTTAATTTAAAGAAGTCCTCAAATTGGTTTCAATCTCAGTTGTTCAATTTAGTCTCTCAGACAAGTATGCTGTATGTCTACCGTTGTGAAATTGTGGATAAACATAAGAGGAAACACTGAATGAGAATGGTGGGTAGGCCTGCCCTGCCCGTAGTTTTCTGGTTGGTGTTGGATATATGGTCCATGGTAAATCCAACAGGCAA